CCCCCGCCGGGCAGCAGCTTCCCAGGACAGTACAGTACAAACACACCCTTCCTCCTCCCCGCCCCATCCCAACCGACGTGGAAAAATATAAAAATCCCAAAACTTCTGCAATAATTTAGTTAGAATAGCTCCTCTGGGTTTGTGCAAATAAATTAAAACAACTAAAAAGGAACGTTAAAACACTTATTTCCAGACTGGCAGGCGTCACAACCAGCCCGTGTCGCCTCCGCGGGGTTTGGCCAGGAAGACATCACAGCGAACGAGATTTTTTTTTTTCTTTTTTTCCTTTTTTTTTTGCGTGTGTGTGTTTTCTCTCGAAGGTCCCTCAGCTGGGCAGGTCCTTCGTCCCCGAGCGAGGACATCCCGCGGGCCGGGCTCCGGAAAACAGCGGTTTCGGACAAGAGACGTCACAAGCACAAAGTGCACAATATTTCTGGTATTTACAGAGACACAGCAGTCCTTCAAGTTTCAAGTTTCGTCAAAAGAAGGAGGAAAGAAAACAAAAAAACAACCAACAAAAAAAAAAAACCAAAGCCAACCCAAACCGACAAACTGAAGCGACATCAAAGGAGTTACCGGTATGGGGGGAAAAAAAAAAAAAACCACAAAAAAAGGGTAAAAACTGAAGTTACGACACAGCTGCATCGCTCCCAAGACAACAGGTAACACGTCCACAGGCGGGGTTGGGGTGGGAGTATGTACACGGGCGACGGCGAGGCCGGGGAGAAGCTCCCGGCGCTCACCCGGCGCCGGGGGGTCACCAGTCCGCGTCCTCCTCGATGTAGTAGTCAGGGGCCGTACCGTCGAAGAGGCCGGGGTCGAGGGACTTGCGCTGCTTCCCCCGGGCGAACACCCTGGAGATGGAGCCGAAGCCCATCTTCTCTTTCTTCTTTTTCCGTTTTTGGTCTTCCAGGTCCTCTAGAGACTGCGGGGGGGAGAGAACACGAGCTTGGCCACCGAGCTTTTCATTCAACCCCCCCCAGCCCCACGCCGGGGACGACGGACCACAGGGTCCAGGTCCCGAAAAATATTCGGGTCCAGGTCCGAAGCAATGTTGAGGGATTTTGGCTTCTGAATTCAACCAGCTCAGGATTTCAGCTCCAGGTAACGTAAGGATGGTCAGAGCAAGGGTCTGTCCACGGCGTGCTTGAATACCCCGCCGTTTTAGGGTCAAATACAGAAGAATAATCTGATCTAGGCTGTGCCTTACAAAAATCGAGACCGCGATGGGCCCCAAGCACAGCAACCACCTACGGCACTACCTGGATTTTGGGGCAAATCGTGGCAATCTGAGACATCCCAGACTTAGAATTCAGGATGGCTTCTGTTCTTTTTTTTTTTTTTTTAAAAAACCCAAATCAGTGTCTTTGAGCCCCCTCAAATCACTCACTAGCACAGGACCGGGTCTCACGAGCAGGATTTAAACAGGGCTTTGTGCCCTACCTGTACGATTGGGTTGTGCAAGTTCTTCTGTACCGGTCCAGGACTGTCCCCCTGCGGCAGAAGGAGACGGATCCAATTGCATCAGCCCCAACAGAGCCCGGGACCCCCCAGACCACCCCAGCAAAAAGCAGCTCGTCCGGGTGGCTGCATCACTGTGGGGCTGGGACAAACCCCAGGAAAGCAGCTCTCCAGGTCAACAAACCTCCAACCCGTACCCCACCCCAAAAACGAGATCATTTTTGGAAGCGGAGGACCCACAGCATCCCCAGCCGCACACAGCGGGGAAACAAGCCCCCCGTCAAAGCAAGCCCCCCATCACACAGCGCCTTACGTTGCAGAGCGAGTGCGTTCGATGCCGGGGCGAGTTGATGTCGCTCGGTGTGGACGACCGGTCGCCCTCGGCCGCAGAGGCGTCGGAGATGATGGACGGCTGCCGGGAATGACAGGGACTCACTCTGACCGCTGGAAGGCAGGGGGGGGGCACCGGGGAGTTAACATCACGCCAGCAAACCTGACCCCACGCAAAGCCTCTGATGCGCTTCCAAAAAACCTATTTTTGGGGTGGTTTTGCCCTTTTGTTTTCTTCTATGGGGGAATAAGGCAGCTCCTCAAAATGGGTTTGGCCCTGCGCCCTGATCCTTGGCGGGGGGGGGGGGGGGAAAAAAAAGTGGTAGAGGGTCTGCTGGCTCTGCCGGATGGCGGCCGTCAGCGGGAGGTCGGCCTGCATCACCCACTCCTGGTTGCCGTTCAGCACCGTCTCGCCCGGCATGGCCAAGGAATGGCGCTTGGGGACGTCCTTGGTCAGCGTGGCGAGGGACTGCTTGGCCTGGGGGAAGGACACCGAGGTGGTGGTGGTGGTGGTGGGGAAAAACCGTATGAACATCTCCCGGAGCAGCGGAACCGGCAGCAACACACCGCACCAAACCCACCCTCCCCCTTTGCAAGTAAATACCCAAATTGCGTTGCTCCCTGCACCGAGGATATCCAGCTCCTTTTCAGCGATGGATTTTTTTCCTGCCAGTATTGCAATAATGCAGCAACTGCAGCAAACGCGTGCACGCAACAACTGCAGCAAACGCTTAAATGCAATACTGCAATAAGTATTTAACTTCAGCAAAACCCGCCGGGGTGTTTCAAGCACTCGAGCTGCTGAGCCGAGCGCCTGCAGCAGCGGCGCAGGGCTGACCCTCGAGTCGTGCCCGCTGTGTTATCGAGCTCACCATGGCCAGCTCGGCCTCCAGCTCCTTCATGCGGTTGTCTTTCAGGTCGAGCTGGGAGCGGAGGGCGCTGGCGTGGTCCGTCGCCTCCTTGGCTTGCCGTCGCAGCTCCCACTTCTCCCGCTCCAGGAGGTCCTTCTCCTTCGCCAGGGCTTTCACCGCGTCCTCGCTCTCCTGCCGGGACACGGGGCAGCCATCAGGAAGGGGAAACCCATGCGCTACTACAAACCCCTCTCCCACGACCCCCCTCGGGGACCACCCGACTGCTGCAGTGCCAAAGGGCAAGCGGTACCTTTGGGTGTCACGAGAGCCCTGTGCCAGCAGGGACGGCAGCGGGGAGCTGCGGGATGCGGCCCGTCCCCCGAAAAGGGATGCCCGCCGTGCACCTGGTTAAAATTCCATCGAATTTCCCAGGTCTGGCTCGCTGGCCGAATTTCCTCCAGTATTTATTTATCCTTAACCTGCTGCGGTCCAGCCCTCGCAGCAGGGGAGCGTCTGCCCGGTTGTAAGAGGCCGGCTGGGGCTTTGGTGGGTTTTTGCTCGATTGCAAACCGGGTTTCGCGCTCACGCCGCTGCCAGCCCCCCCGTGCCACGAGACCACGGTACTGGGCTCCCGCACTCACTTTCCTGTGCTGCTCGTAGTTCCTGATGAAGTCGCGGAGCTGCTCCTCGCGGCTCTCCAGCGTGGCGTACAGCTGCTGCATCTGGCTCACCAGGTCCGTCTTCTCCACCTTCAAGCGCTTGCGGTCGGCTTTCATGGCTGCGGGAGAGACGATGGCTCAAGCACTGGGGGCACGGCAGCCCCCCCGCCTCCGCCGCGGCAAAATTTTCCTTTTCAAGGAAAAAGCAGCAAAATTGCGACCCCAGGGGCTGGGCTGCGAGCAGACGCCCAATTCGTTCCTATTGCTGCACCCCCTGCATGCACCCAGCAGCCCCCCGAAACGCCCAGCGCATCTCCGCCGCGGCTCCTACTCATCGCCCACCCTCCACGGGGCAGCTCGGCCCCCAGAAAAGAGGAGATTGGAGCGAAACCGCTGCCGCAGCCTCAGGGCCTGGCGCAGGAAAACCTGCTGCTCCCTTTCCAGGATAAATAAACCACAACCGGTTTATTTTTAGCAGCTCGGCGGATTCCTGCAGCGCTCCCACGAGCCCGAGGCACGGCTCCCCGAGCGTCCCCTTCCAGCTCAATGACGCTGCGCAGGGACGGGGGGACAGAGGGGGAGGCTGGGTGGGTGGGGGCACCACGGGATGCGATGGGGGCGTTTCGCCAGCCCTGAGGTGAAACCAAAGACCTTTGTGTTTTCCCTCTCCCACACACCAGCGAGGGATGCTCGCTGACCACCGATACAGGGACGGCTTGCTGGGAGACTGGCAAAACCGGGGAGGATTACAGAAATGCCACGTAGGACAAAGGACTTCAGTAATTTCTGCACGTTAAGCGCCTTGCCCAGCCCCGAACCTGGTCCTTGGCACTGCTGCAGAAATGCCCTGCGGCTCCCTGCGCCAGATACACCCCACCAAAATAATACCCAGTTTAGGAATCAGAATACAAACATTGCTTTTCGTTGTAGGAACGACTTTGCATGCTTTTCCACCCTGAGGAAGCGCTGCTCTCGAGGGAGCGAGATAGTGTGAAACACCCTCTGCCCCTCCAATGCTCCCTGCACTCACTGCGTTGCAAGCAGCCGAGCCGGCTCCCTGCACCAGATACACCCCACCAAAATAATACCCAGTTTAGGAATCAGAATACAAACATTGCTTTTCGTTGTAGGAACGACTTTGCATGCTTTTCCACCCTGAGGAAGCGCTGCTCTCGAGGGAGCGAGATAGTGTGAAACACCCTCTGCCCCTCCAATGCTCCCTGCACTCACTGCGTTGCAAGCAGCCGAGCCTTGCAAGCCGTCCCTCTATATTAAAAAAAAATCCTAAAACCAACCCCAAAGCCACCAAGAGCTGTCTGTATTACAAAAGCCGCTAGAAGACGATAGCCCCACCATGAGTGGGACCCGCCTCCACGCACACGCACGGGCCCAACCTATTTCTGTTAGATTAAAGAAATCCACGACGAGCGTTTCAGCCCACACTGCGTTTCCTACCCTCCACCCCCCCATAACGAGCCACTTCTTCTGGGGGCTTAAACTGCACCGTAGCGTGCTCCGGGATCCTCCTGGCGAGACGCATGTGGGATAAAGACCTGACTGAGGAACACAAGAAAACCATTACCATGGCACGCTTAAAAGGAAAATCATTTCCTTCGTGCAATTAGCACCTTCGGTACCCTTGGCTTCATGCCTCCGCCTTCTCCCAGCACAGGAAAGCTCGTGCTGGGGAGCTCCGCTCCCACCCTCCTACGGCTGAGGACCCTCGTCCGTCCCCCCCCCCAGCTGCTTTCTGTTAAATACTCAATAAAAGCATTTCCACCTGCGTGTAAGGAGGGACAGCGTTATTATTAGATACGCACTGCAGACCTCAGGCAGAATAATCCGCTAAGGGGATATCACCCAGCACCGCGTACAGCATACCACCGTAATGCACCCAAATAGCCCCCTACAGAGGAGCAGCACCTCTGCTCAGCCAGCTCTATATAACACGTTTCAACCACCTCCTGCATCCCACCCGAGCTCGTTACAACCGCCGGCTCGAGGAGGGGTTTACTCGGGTGGGAACTTATTTCTGTGCACAGGTATTACTGCGCGTGCGTGCTGGGAAGATGCATAATAAAACACGTGCTTGGGATGGAGCCAGTAAGGAAGGGAGAGGGCTTGCAGGTTAGCGGACAAAAAGGTGGTGGTGGGGGAAAAAATCAGACCAAATAGCGGAAGAAGAGGGAGATGTTTGGGACAACAGAGATTTTTTACCTGTTAAAACCCAGGAGATGAAACTCTTCGGACCAACTACTCTGCCATTAAGCATCGGAGGTTAATCAAACCCCAGAAAAACAACAAACCAGCTAAGAAATGCCACAACGATTCACGTTGTCCCGTGATAGGGAGCACTTGTGATTCTTCCTTGCTCACTTCCATGAATGTGGCTCCTCCTGGGACAACTCAGCCCCTTCCAACACCGGGACTTCCCTCACTTTTTTTCCAGCTTGGGAAATTACTACAGAAACCCCCTAAAAGTAATCGTAACCGGACCACACCTAAGTTTTTAAAAAAGCACTTTCCCGTCGCCTGTCTGTGTTTAACAACAACCTTCCCCCTGCCCAGTTATTTCACATGAACTGAAAACTTGCTGAAAAAGAAAAATTAATGATAAGTTGGCCGAGCCACACTGGGGTGAGATCCGGACCCCACAGAAGCGGGTACCCAGAGTTACCGACTGCGCTGGCCGCGACTCGAGGACACGTGAAGCGCAGCCATCGCTGATTTGGGTTTTAGAGGGGGAATTTTTGGCCCCCGTAGCCCTTCCCAGGCAGGGTCAGTCTCAGCCCCATCCCCGTAGGATAACGCACTGCTGAAAACCCCTCTGCTTTCAAGCTCTTGAACACTTTGCGACACACATATATATATTTTTAATTTCCTCGAGGATACTGAGAGGCTCTTACAGAAGTTTAAGTCACATTTGCACTCTCCGAAGCAGGAGGCGACAAAAGGCTCCTAATGAATTTAATTAAATAGCAGGTCCCCTGTAGCATACAACCTGCTTTAATTAGTGGCAGCGTTCAGGGTCCTTAAAGATTTATGGAAAACACTCCATCGCTTGCCAAAAAAAAAAAAAAAGAAAGAAATGCTCAGAAGTACTATTAGGAGAAGAGTACATACCATCTCCCAAGGTTGAATATTTACCAATATTCATGCCAACCAGTACTGCAAGAAGATGATGGACTTGGGGTATTGCAAGAGCAGGTTTTTTCCTGTTAACCCAATAGGACAATTTACCGTTTGTTTCAGTTCATATCTGAGAGATTTGCTAAAATTAATGCACTTTTTTTCCTCCTCTATTACCACTGCTCTCCCTCCTCCAAAACCGATTAGCTCCTAAGCTTAAAGACGATTTATCAGTCATTTGAGGACTTGATTCCAAACCCAATTAATAGGAAATTAATTGAAAGAGGCAGGAGAAAAATAAAAAGTTATGCAGAAGTGAGCAGCTAGGGCTGCCAGCAATTCCTGGACCACACATCGCTCGCTGTGGCAGCTTAATACATCCTTAGCAAACAAGCCCAGCTAATTACTCAGTCAGGGAAAACGAGCCATTGCGATCCACGGCGCGACGGCAGGGGCAGCCAAGGAGGAATAAAGCAGGTTTTCAATGGCCATCGGGGCCATCCGAAGAGGTGAAATGGCTTTTTTTCTTTAATCTGATGATCCAGGGCCAGGTTTCTGTATCCCAACCCCCCCAGGAATATCTAAATAAACTCTCCTACAGCCCACCTGCACGGTGGGCTCTGGCAAAACCTCCGACCTGTTCATAAACCCATAAACAAGAGCAGCAAGAAATCCTAAACCCTTACCACGAGCAGAAAGTATTCATCTCGCGCAGCTTACTTGCATTATTTATTTTTCCCTCCCACCCAAAGCGCATGGCAGAACAAGAGGGGGAACCCACCAGCCCCCCCCGCCCCAGACTCGGCAGCTCAGCACCAGCACCCGGCAGCAAGCGATGGGAAGGACGGCTTGGGAACGGCGGTGTGAATCCCCCCCTCCCCAGCTCTCGCCATCACCCCCCACCCCCCCTGCCTGCACCGTTAATCCTGCAGGAGGGTCAGCTTGCGCTCCCGTCACTTGAGCTTCCACCTCCTGCCACACGATCCGTCCCCCGAGCATCGCTTCTTCGGGAGAAGGATGACGGATGCAGGGCGGTCACGGGACCCGCTCCGCGCTGGGCTCCTCTCGCAGCCAAACCTATTAAAAATCCCTCCCCAGCGCCTTCTCTTTCCAGCTTTACCTAACGAGCTGGCATCTAATCGCTCCGATGCACCAACCTGAGGGGCACAGCCTTGCCCAGGGCAGCAGCACGGCTCAAACCTCCCAGTGGTGCCGCAACCGAAGGTGCCACCACCCCATGGCCCCTGTCCGGCCTCAGCACCTGACAACTTCTGGATGGGAATTAGCTACCACATGCTAAACCCAGGCATTTTCCCCCCTAAAATGGGGGCTGCTGTAAGTACCATTCCCCCCCCTTTGAAACTAATACTATCAAATTAAGGGAAAATGAGGTGATGGTGGTCGCACCATCTAGCCCAGGTTTGCTTGGAGGGCATACAGATAATTAGTTTGACTACCTTAGTAATGCGATATTAGATGAAAAACGACTATGTTTGGACCATAGAAATAGCATCTCTGCCTGGCTTCCCGGCTCCCGGGGTGAAGCGGCAGAACCCAAACACAAGCCAGGGCACTGGCAGCAGACGCAGCCCACCTCTGACCCTCCCGAAGAGCAGCTCTCCCTCCGGCTCCCGTCCGCTTGCGAGTACTTCTCTCGCCCCGTGCAATGTGGATTTTCACGCCAGGAATGGAATTGGAGCTGACTTTATCACTTATTGAATCGTACACTTATTTTCTAACGCTGGGAAAGGCGTCCTCGGGGGGCATCGCTCAAGCCTCGTTGATGCCCCATGCGAGAGGAACACGTAAACCCATCCTGTCCCATTAACATTCACTTAATTTCTCCTGTTTCTCCATCCCAACCATGAAATTCAATATTGTCACCATGACTAACCCATAAAATCGGTCAGCCCTGCGCAGGAACTGCAGCGCCACTCCTTGCTTTGTAATTAAATAGGCGGGCGCGCTCCCCGGGCGCAGCCGTCACCATCTGCAGAGAAGATCTTGCCGTTGAAGACGTCAACGTTACGCGGCGTCGGGCAGAGCCAGCACTCGCTCCTGGGCATGCGGAGGTACGGCGCAGGGAGGAAATTCGAGTGTAATGTTGAATTTCAGGAAATAATTAGAGGAGGCATTTGCCTTGGGGGAATTTACCTGGAAACACCCTGCTACGAGGCCAAGGGCTTTCCAAACCAGCCTCCCCCATGGTCATGACAAGGTGGTCAATGACTTCTGCTGCGAGTTTAAGGTGGGTCTTCAAAGGAGCACAGCGGGTTTTCTGTACAGAGCCCTGTGTCCCTTTGGTGAAGAGGGCTTCCTTGGCCGGGTCCGTGGCTGGGACACCCATCTGCCGGGACGCCCATCCGCCGGGACGCCCATCCGCCCGTTTCTTTGCTACCCACCCCCTTGCTGCAGCCAGCCGGGGATGCTGAGGGTTTCTGCAGGAGGCTTGTCCTAGCTTAAGTGCCATCCCCAGGAGGTCACAGCTCCGAGCCGCAGGTTTGGGAGGGAGGAGACCGGGCTACAACCCATTTGCGGAGCAGCCGTGAAGTTGGTTCGGTTCACGCCTTCCCGAGCAGCAGGGAAAGCCAGGCCGAGGTCTCCACCTTGGCACTCGAAAAGGAAACAGAAACCAGGTTTGCTCTCCGCGTGATAATCCCGCAGGCGAGCTCCAGCATGTTGGATAAACCTTCCCAGAAACAGGGTTTCTGCCATTAGCCCACATGCTCATAGATGTCACCCAGCCAAGAGGCTCCTCAAGTCCTCCAGGCGCTCGGGCACGGTCCCTTCCCGCAGCAGGAACCAGCAGTAATAAAGCTGTCTGCAACTTCTCCCGTCGGAGATTTCCACATCAGAAATCCAGACCACATCCATCCCTTTCCAGCTGGGGCCAGGGAAAATATAATTGCGCTAACACTGTAAGCATGATACCGAGTCCCAGCCCCAGCAAAGGAGGAGAGGACAATAAGATGTAGTGCTACGGGATTTCATTTGGACATTAACTGATCAAAAAAAAAGTGCAAGAGATGGAATCAGCCCAGAAAAAGGAGCAATAAAGATGCATAAAGCACATGCTGCCAGGGATACAGAAACTGCTCAGGTTACTCCCGCAGAGCATCCTGTGCTGCTCCGGATCCCGGCTCCCTCCCCTCCGCAGCAAGGGCTTGTTAGCACGGCACAGGGAATACGCTGCACGGGCTTATCGCCAGCTTTACCCCCGTGCTAAATGCTGTCGGAAAGGGCTGGAAATGCATTGCTGAGGAGGGACGACGAACCCACCCTCTTCCACCCAGATCATCACAAACCAAACCCCGTGCGGCCATGCAAAACGAAGGCTGTTAAAACTGCTGGAGCCCCCGAAAGTAAACCCCGCTGGCAAACCCTCTCCACTTCCCTCTGCGCTGAAGCCCGGTGAGCCAGTATGTATCTGAACCGGCTGTGTCGCGCTTCCGAGCTCGGAGCCAGCAGCGACGACAGATTTCCATATAATTTATCCGCTAATGACATTACACACGACCCAACGCGGGTCGCGCGCTGCTGCCGGGGCAGGGACGCTGATGCTGCCAGGCGCGGGGCATCCTTTAGCGAGGACCGCAGGGCTTTGCAGCGACGCATGCTGCGAGGTGAGACGTGGTCTTGGGAGATGCTCTCTGGCTGTGGGACACGACTGACACAAACCCCTGACCTACAGGACAGCACGGCCAGGTTTCCCCGAGCTCCTTGCACTGCCTTATTCTGCAGCTCCTTAATATAGAGCCATTATTTCCCCAAATGCCTCTTATCAGCTGATACGTTTCTCCCGGCAGAACCATTCACCGGGCACAGTTATTGCCATTTTCCCTCCCCTTTTGGCTACGTTTCTCTACGGACAATTTTTCACGGAAAGGAAAAAGGATTTTTTTTTTTCCCCACCCCTCCAGCTGCTGATCCCGTTTCCACATTACCCGTCTCCGTATCCGCCGCCGCGCTAAGCCTGCTCTGCTGCCCAGCGCCTCCAGCCCAGCTCACGAGGCTGGATCCAGCACGGCGAGCTTTTCCAAATTACGCAAAAGCTTTCCAGTATTGCGTGGGAGGGAAGGAGCATTGATTTTAAAAGCCTTCTTGGTACGTGCCTTTCCAAGTGCAAGCTGAGATTCCCCCTTCCTAGCCATCGCACCTGCAGAGAAGTCCTGGAAAAGCAATCCCAGCGGCTCGTATGGCGGCCAATAAAAGCCCAATAAAAACCCAACATTATATTCCTTAAATACTCACGATTCTCAAGCCAAACTCACTTTTTCTCTGTACTATCCTTCACAGAAGTGCATACGACCTCACTGCAGCTTCTTAGATGACTTATTATTATTTTTTTTGCAAATAGTCTTAAAGTAGTTCTGCTTTTCTATATTTTGCATTTATCAGCACTTCCCCCTCCCTGTCTGCGCAGAGCAAATATTCTCTCATTAAGGTTTTTCTTCTCTGATTATGGTTTTATAAACCCAGAGCATTTCCTGCTGTCAGAGGCTGCACCGGTGGCGGGGGGCAAGATTTTGAAGATATTTTGGCTGTTACTAATTTATAGGGATGCTTTTGCAAATCAGAGAGTGATAAATTAAAAAGCACGTAGACTGGGGTAGTTTTTCCTCTTCTTTTTCCAAAATCCTCCACCCAAATACGGCCTCAGCCTGATTCCCTGCTCCCCCCCCCCTTGCGCACCTCAGTGTCCCGGACGGGGGGAGATGCGGTACGCTGGGGCTCTCCCCCAGCCCGCTGCTCAGCCTCTGAGCCTGAGAACTTTCGACAGCCTCTCTTCATAATCCGCAAACGCGAGCTGACAAGTGGAAGGGAA